ATTTAGGTGTATTCTCATCGCTTGGCTAGCTCTAGAGGTATAAAAGAAAGAAATCACTGTCTGCCGGTGTAAGGGCCTTCTCTTACTGTGACAGCAGTTTGTAGCCCTGTGCTTAGGCTCAGGCCTTTGGCTAAGCAGCAGAGACAGCCATAAGCTGGGAAGTGAACGGTCACATCCTCACATTCCAAACTAGTCACATTGAAATAAGGTGCTATTGGGCTGTTAGGCACTATCAGGACAGGATTGTATTCCTATCACCTCCAGAGAAAGGGAAGTGCCTAGAAAATGTAAAAGGAAACTTTGTTTGATAGCATCCTGTCTGGCAAGAACTCACTTATCAATAGCTGGGATGTGAAACCCTCACTTCTGTATTGTCTTGTCATTATAGTTTCCACTTTGCTATTGTTTGTCTGTATAATCTCTGTCTGGTTCTGTGATTGTTCCTGCCTGCTGTATAATTAATTTTGCTGGGTGTAAACTAATTGAGGTGGTGGGATATAATTGGTTACATAATCATGTTACAATATGTTAGGATTGGTTAGTTAAATTTCAGGAAAATGATTGGTTAAGGTATAGCTAAGCAGAACTCAAGTTTTACTATATAATCTGTAGTCAATGAGGAAGTGAGTGGGTGGGGGTGGGCATGGGCATGGGCATGTGGGTAAGGGAGATGGGAACAGGGAATGGGGGTAAGAAAATTGGAATCATGTTTTGCTAAAGGGGAAAATGGGAACAGGGAATGGGAGTAAGGAAGTTGGAATCATGTTTGGCTAAGTGTAGGAATGGGAACAGGGACACAGGTGTAAGGCTCTGTGGTGTCAGAGCTGGGAAGGAGGATACTAAGGAAGGAAACTGGAATCATACTTGCTGGAAGTTCACCCCAATAAACATTGAATTGTTTGCACCTTTGGACTTCGGGTATTGTTGCTCTCTGTTCATGCGAGAAGGACCAGGGAAGTAAGTGGGTGAAGGAATAAGCCCCCTAACAGTTAGGAAGAAAGTGATATGCAGAAGGATGCAGAGCTGCATGTGGTTAGTTTCAAGAACAGAAGTCACTTTAAAGTGATCAATGTGACCATATCACATATTAATGATTTATTATATAGCTAGCACAGTAAGCACTGAGTACATTCTCTTCTGATGGAATTCAGTACATCCTATGGGTTTATTAAAATAGATTGATTTTGAAAAAAAATCAAACCACAACTCCTAAGCAAATTTTTAGTTTTACATGCAAATTATCTTTCAAATAAATTTTAAAATACCCTATTCATGTATTGTTTTCCATTTGAGCTCTGATCATTTTGTGCATTAGACATATTCTCACCTAAAATTTTTTCAAGTATTTATAGTGGAATTCTATTTTCTGCAAATTACTTTCATTTAGCTCTGGAAGTTCAGCAGATTTGTATCATCATAATCACAACAACTAAAAAAAAGTGTACTCTGTCACATAACTTTAATACTATTTTAAGATCTTGCAGTGGGAGGGTTATGGAAGAGATTTAGAAAATCTGTACTTCAGAAACCATATGGTCATGCATCTGAAGCTACATGGAAGGGAGTTAGTTAGTTAGTTGAAGGTTCCTTCTCACTCTGGCTGCCAAATATAGAATGGCCTGCAGAGGTGAAAGTAAGCTGGTACGGTACGGTATAGCATAGCATACCAGCAAGAAAGTGCCGACTGTACCGGCAGGGCTGCTGACGGGTGCGGGGAGGGGAGGGCAAAAGGGGTAGTTGCCCCAGGGCCCATATCGGGGCCCTGCGTACCGATAAGTCATTTAAGTTACTTTTACCCCTGGGCCTACCTCATCATTTTAGCACCTGAAATGATAATTATCATTCCCCCAACTTTGAATATAAATATAATGCTTTCTGAAGCATGTTCACATTTCTGAAATACTTATGTCCCATCAGTTAATCTTAAAAGTTTATTCCTTGCTTGCGACAGTATTTTCCAAATATGTTGTTGATGTATCTCTTGTGTTTGCTGCCAGCAAGAGGTTAAAGGACAAACAGTATTGATTGTGTTACACATTTCATTGAAGTCAAGTCATGTCATGTGCCTGCTTTTGGCATCTTCTGCCTTGAAAGTTCTCTCTCATGGTGTGCCACAGCAGAAGTAATTCATATTTGTTCTGCCCTGTTCACACAGTATTCACAATCTATTAGAAGTGACAAAAATAAGCAAAATTTTCTCTAATTCCTGACATTCCTAAAATGATGCCAACGTATTCTTGCAATATTGGACTTTTATTAGTGCTGCTTCTTCTCTTTGGAAATTTGTGGCATATGGGCATAGTTTCCTTTTAAATAGCATGATACACAATTGCTTCAAGATCCTGTGTGGCAAAGCTTTGATTTCTTTTCTTTTATGAAAAAAACATTCATTTAAAAATGGTCTACAATCCACATGAAGATCTTGGTTGTAGGGTTTTTGCACTGAGACACTTTTGTTTGTTGGAATGTATATGACAATCATCTGTCATTATAGAATTCCACCATTCCACCTAATGTGTGGAACAATTTGTACTCCTGAAATGCACTTCAGTCAAGCAATTTAGTGGGGAAAAAATGAAAAACCTCTTTCAGAGAAATCACCTCTGCTTTTGAAGACCTACTATTTAAAAACAATGTAAGCATACAAATCAGAAATTAAGCACATTTGGGAGTATGTTTCTTTTCACAGCAGATTCAAAAAATGACTTGCATTAAGTGTGAGAAAGGGTATGTACTGATCGGACAAGAGAATTTTGCCCTTAATCAGGGCCCTGAGATCTGTCAGTTGTTAGTGTGTTTTCTCCCTCATTCCTTTCTTTTCCTCTGTACTCTACCACAAGTAAAGTTAGATAAAGTACCACTTTTGAGGGACTATATCAAACCTCATTGACAGAAGACCTTGCTTTCTCTCACAAATAGGCATTATCACTCACTTGTTCCAAGGACTGAATATCACTTCTTGTGAGGATTGGAAATCTAGAATTCAGAACTGAAAGAAAGAGAAGGAAAGGGGCGTTTGGGGAAAAGAGAGATAAGGAATTATAGAAAATTGAAAAGGAATAGATAGTTACATGTTGAGAAGCAGTCAGTAAAGAGGATTTACTCTGCTCAAACCTACGTTCCAAGGAAGCTAGTGGGAAATGAGATACTGGAAGCTGCTTTTTAAAGTTGACTTCAGTGGTAGGTTGGTCAGGGGATGAAAATTTGGTTAGTCTCCTTTTGTGGGTAATTCTATATAGAAAAAATGTCAACAAAATTGCTATTTTTTTTAAGCTTAGAAATGTCAGTAATGTCTCATCTCCTGTTTTTTTCTGAAGAATCCAGAGATGTGGTTTCTTGGCTCTTAATTGAAGGAGGTCTTCAATCTTTAGCAAAAGAGCTTTCCTCTGAATTGTTTGTTGTCTATTTGAGTTAAATGGGTGTTAACAAAAACAATAGTTTTAAATAGTCTGAATAACAACAAACAAACAAAAAGCCCCACACTTCTCTCAGTTATGTTTCAATTCATAGATATCAGAGTTCTCCACTTACCCTTATGGCTTTCCAGGAAACCAGGGTAAAATTCCCAACTGAATAGTAACAAAAAAGCCACCTTCATACATCATAAAAAGTCAGAAAGCTCTCTTTCACTTGCATGCCATATTTTAAATGTTTGGATTTCACAAACCATGAACTTGTCTCACCTACACTTGTGCCACCTCCTCCCCACTGTGGCGACACGCCTTTTTATTTTTTTCCAATATCAACACCCACAAACCACCACGCTCAAAGCCAGTCTGGTACTGCAGAGTTTAGCTAGAACTGCAGTATTTTTAAAACTAAATTCAAATTCTGTTTTCAGACACAGTTAAGTCCTGCATAAATATGGCTTAGCAACAAGGGTATATTTACACTGATAAAAAAAAAAAAAAAAAACCTGAAGTACCCAGTGTCAGAGCCCAGGGCAGCTGATTTCGGCTTGTGGGTCTAGAGCTTCAGGGTTATAAAATTGCAGTGCAGACATTCGGGGTGGGACTGGAACCTGCGCTCTGAAACCCTGTGATGGGGGAGGATGTGACCTTTTGGGTAGGCTAGTTTATGATCTTGCAAACATTTAAATATGTGCATCACTCTGTACTCACGTGAGCAAGACTTACAGAGTTCAAAGTGACTACTTGCATGAGGAGGATTATGTACATGCTCATGTGTTAGGATTATGAAAAGTAAGGTCCTGGTTCATCACTCACCCCTTGGCCTCCTGGTTTACTCTTGAAGATGCAGTAAGTGCCCATTGCAGTACATATGCCTGTCTGTACTAACTGGATGGAGAGCACCAGCTCATTTCGCGTAGGCTACCAAACAGTCACTACAGGAAGGGGTCTGCACTTGTGATACTAACGCCCATTCAGCAAAGGATGCAGTTATGCATGTGAGCAGTCCCATTAACTTCTCAACACAAGTAATCTCTGAAGTTAGTGGGCTTGCTCACATATTTGAAATTAAGTAGGGGCTTATATATTGCATTGAGCTCCATGCAGTCTCAGTGCCTGACAAATGAAAGGCTGTTGAGCCATTCCCAAAGGCCCAACCTGCTCGATTCTCACCTATGTTAAGCTTTCACACTCACTGCATTCCACTTTCTTATCTGGTAGCCACAGGAAAGGTTTGACATGCTTTTCTTAAATTCAGTTGTTTTTGCATTATTTTGGCTTGTATATTTGCAAAACTCTCCCCACCCCCAGTTTTTGTATGAATCAGAAATTATGCTCATTTTCATATTTCAGATGCAACCTAAAAATGATTCAGGCGTCATATTTAAAATGCAAAGAGAGATAATCCATCAACCTTGCATACATCTATTTACATGTACCCCTCCCCCCCCCATGACCATTTGAAAAGTCTAAAATACGGAAACAGCTTAAACCACTGACATCCTTTCTGTGACAGCAAGTACTAGAAGAGGGCAGGACTCTGGATAAAACCAGCATCTTTAGAATGCTCTCTGTTCTCCTTGCTTGCAGAGTGTGGAAGGAGAGCACCATGAAAAAGCCGTGGAGCTCCTGAAGGCTGCTAAAGATAGTGTCAAGTTGGTCGTGCGCTACACTCCCAAAGTGCTGGAAGAGATGGAGGCTCGTTTTGAAAAACTGAGGACAGCACGACGCCGGCAACAGCAGCAACTACTAATTCAGCAGCAGCAACAGCAGCAGAATACACAGCAAAATCATATGTCGTAGGTGAGACTATTCATTGCTCATGCTTTTGGCTCAAACCTGTGAAGGGTTGAGCATCTCTTACCAGCTGCTGGGCATTGACCGCAACGGGAGCGGAGAGTGCTTACCGCTTGGTAGACTACCCCAAGTGTGCCCTACCCCAAGAAAAATGCACTTTGCAAGTAGGGGATTTGCCACATTTTGATGTGGAGCTATTTTTCCAAGTCTGAATCTAGAAATCAATGCCTGGCATACAAGTCTGGCAGGGAATACAAGGAAGAGTCTGAGCAGTAAGTTAGTATTCTTTCTGGGCACCCTCTCATACTATATTTTACTCCCATCAGCCAAAAAATAGAGTTCTTGTAAAAAGTAAGAATTTTTTGCTACCAGTTTTAGCTTAATATACCAATCCCTTACTACTACGCTGAATAGCATCTACACATATGAGGGGAAGTTTTCCCAGCCTTTTCACAGCTACAAAAAGCCAAAATGCACAAGAGCCACTGTAGTTCCATTGCATAATGTGGTGGAAAGGTGCTTAGCTGCACATCCTACCTCCACTGTGGTAGGGAATATTCCATTCACCGCTTTCGTACCTATATGGCCAAAATTACTGTAGTAGCTGAGTGCCTTACAATCTTTAATGTATCCTCACAACACCCCTGTGAGATAGCACTTCCTTCTATCACTCCCACTTTCCAGATGGAGAACTGAGAAGCTAAGTGATTTATCCAATGTCATCCAGGAAGTTTTTGCGAATACAGACTAACACAGCTGCTACTCTGAAATCTGGTGAAGCAGGGACTTGAACCCAGCTCTTCCAAGTTGTAAGCTAGTATCTTGCTTTGGTCCCCTAAACAAGAGTCTTTTGCTGAGGTTTTGCATGAGAGATCAGAATTTTGCTTGATGGATCCTTATTCTGTGAGTCTTAGTCAAAATTCCTATTTTCCGCTCTTAATGTTACAGATATAAATGGTTATGTTTTGTGTAATAAATTGTGTTTTTCTACCTTAAACTGGACTGTTTCAGGAACCATTAAACATTAAAATGCAAAATTTCAAAGGTTTTAAATAAAGTTTAGACAATCTCACCCCAACTCAATCTTTACAAGTATTATAGTGCTCGTTGATGTTATTCTTAGTTGGGGAGAAAGGAAGGGAAATATGAGTGATCTAATCCCCCAATTCTTTTTGTTAGCTCTGAGAAATGTTTTTGTTTGTTTAATTCTAGGTTATTCTCAAGAATAAAATCTAGATCAAGAATTCAGTAACCAAGCAATTGGAGCTGTGCTTCAGTATTCCAACCTACAGCTATAAGAAAACAGAGAGAACACAATAACTGAATTTATCAAGAAGTTATGAACAAGTGGAGTAAGAATAAATTAGTAAGAACCACAACACACCTGGTACCTTCTTTATCAGGCTTTTCAGTACAGTGCAGTTTCAGATACAAGATTTCTATGACTTTATTCCTAATGAGCAGTATGGTAAGTAAACACTATGAAATGTAGAGAAGTTTGGGGATTCTGAATAAATCTTTATAAGGTCCAATCTTGCACTCCTTATTCTAACAAAACTCTGGCCTATTGGTTCACTGAGGTCATTGAGGATTTTATCTAAGGAGGCCAAGATCGGCTGCTAGTGAGGGTGAAGTCTTTCTCTGCAGTTATTTCCAGAAATGAACAACTTGTAGTCCATCAACCAAACTGCATCTGTTCAAAATTTTGCCACAAACATAAAACAAACTCCCACATCACATTCCATAACCCCTTTTTACTATATATTGTAGAGTTGTTTTAATCTGACTTCCAGTTTATAATAATTTTCAATTTTTTCCCTGAAAATAGCAAGTTACTATATTTATACGTATTCAGTTGTAAAAGCAATTGGCTTTTTACTCTTGATGTTTCCATATATTTTATTATGCATCAATAGAGTGAGGCAGTTTTAGATTTACTTTAATTTTATTAGTAGTAAGGCTAGAGAATCCTAGAACGTATTTTTAAATATAGGTATTGCTTGTATCCACTATAGCTATTATTCTGAAATCTATAACTTAATATACTGTATATTTATTCCATAAAATATATATTATCAGAATGTACTTGTTACAGAAATAGGATCTTTGCTTACCATGAATTACAAATGTAGTAAGATAATGTTAGCAAAAGACCAAGCTTTGTTTGCCACGTATTCATGTGATAAATAGAACCCAGCTATCTTAGCTTTTCTGTATTTTTAAATTTATTTTGTATTTCATTGCTCATATATTTAGGAGGAGAAGTGTAAATTGTTCCTGGCATATTTTCTTGTAACTCAGTTTGATCTTAAAGTTTAGAACTTTATCAAATCAAATTGGAATGTAAAAGCAAAATATATAAGAACCTTTTTAAGTTTACATTTACTTTTCCAAAGACTAATGAACAGTCACAGCCAAAGCTGGAAGGCTAAAAATATCATCTACCTTAGAAGTGAAAAAAACCTCAAATCCTGACCAATTTACTGTCATTTAAAAATATCTGCTATATAGAGAAGAAGGAGGCAAAGCACTGTCAAACGGAGGGAAGTTCTGCAATTCTTGCATACTGAAAACTCCAGTTGATTTCACTTGGAGTTTGGGGACACAAGGAACTCTGAACTATTCTGAATCAATGCTCTGGTTGCAGCCTTGTAACAAAAAAGCCAAAACATGTTACATCTTTTCTTTGCAAATACTCACATCATTGATTCCCTTCACTTCAGTATAAGATCTAATCAAATACAGAGCAGACAGCCACAGCAGGGGGAAATTGATATACCATAGTAGCATAGGTTTAAAAAAAAGAATACCTACCAGCCACCAGCTTTGACAGTGTTCCTTTACTATAATTAACTGCTGAAAGTAATCATGCTTTTAAAACCAAATTATATTAAAACACCAGATGAACAATACAATACCTAGAAATAATTCCATCCAGTGGTGCTGGTGACAACATGAATTAAACAGTGTAGCTTGAGTGTGCCACCAGAAGTTAAAGATAGAATATTCTTTTATTATGTTGTGCAAGGATTTTGTTTCAGCTTTTTTGTTTCATTTTTTAACTTAATAAGATTGTGATGTACCCTTTTGAAATATCTATTTTAAAGCTATATTTTTTAAAAACATAAGTATTGATAGTATATGAACTATTACTGCATATGACTGTATTATATATCACATGACTACTGCTCTGTAAGTTTTCAGAGACCAAATATTACACAGTGTGATTAGTGGGACCACTGTATTACATTCTTTCTGAACTCTCCCCTGATCCTGCCTGCCCCTCATCACAATAGCTAGATTTTAGTGGAATGGACAGTTAGTATAGTTAATTGGAAAAAAAATAGAATGTCATTAATGTCTTTATATAGAGAAGCATATCTAATCATTTGCATATGTTATTGTTCAATAAATTATTTATACATATTAATATTAACATCTCAGTCTCTACCAACATTTAAAAATAAGAGGAGAGTATAATACAGTACCAATAAATCAGATATTCTAAGGGGAAACAGAAGGGGCAAAAAATCATTGGGGTTAGATTAGATGACCCTTGCAGTCCCTTCTAACCCTATGTTTATGGGGTCAATTTCAATGATCATACCTGCACTGTGGATCTGTAAAGATGTAGCAAGTTAATCACTGGAGCCGCTGACAGCATCCTCTACATACTGCCAATAATCGGTCATCCTCTAAAAACTGAACCTTCAATTATGGATGTTTTCTGCATTTTTCACATAAAATTTACAGCTTTGATTCAGCATAGCACTTAAACACATGCTTGTGTACTTAACTAGAACCTAAAAATGTGCACACGGCTCTCTCTCTCATTCATGCATTCCCACTGCTATAGCTAATTGTTTGCCTTTTTATTTATTGCTGTTACCGTATGAAACTGGTTTATCTGCCGTCACTTTAGTAAGTTTAAGGTCTCATTGATTTTGGCAGGAATAACTTCAGCCCCCTCAGATACATTTCCTTGTATTGACAGTGAATTGAACTAGAACAGTGGTTTTCAACCCTTGATCTGTGGACCTCTGGGGGTCTGCAGACTATGTCTAAGATTTCCAAAGGGGTCTCCACCTCCATTCAAAATTTTTTAAGGATCCACAAATGAAAAAAGGTTGAAAATCCCTGAAGTACAAGATCCACTAAATCTTTTCTGTCTCTAACTTGATATGTATAAAGGATACCATTCTTTGGGTCAGTGGCCCAGAGCTAGCCAGACTGTCCGATTAGCCTGGCCTGCTGCACCTAAGAAAGAATTGGAATTTAATTAGCTGACCCTCATATAAAGAGGCCAGCAAGAAGGGGTTTAGTGGGGAGAGAGGAACTGCAACATCCTGGAGGAAGTTGAGAGGCCAGAAGTGGTTCCCTGATGGCCCACTACTGAAGTTATTGCTAAGAGGAACTGCTTCAGGAATGCCAAATGTTCAAAAAGGGAGATTGGTGGGAGATCTGTATTACTGAGGCTCTGAGGTAAGAGCCAGGAAATCTGGTTAGTGGAATTATTGGTGCGAGAGGCTAATTTGGGGGGAAAGGACTGCTATGCATGCACAGAGTTGGAAGAAAGAATCTGCAAGAGTTTGATTATGTTTTATTAAGGAGGCTCAATTAAAGAACCTACCTCAGCTGAGAAGTAGCTTCCCTGGATTCCTTGAGAAAGCTCAGTCAAATTAACCTCAGAGAGTGTGAACTGACCTAGCAGGACACAGTTTAGTCAAACAAGAGGAGGGGGCTATCAAATAGACCTAATCCTTCTACAACATGATAATCGAGAGGGAGCTGTCTGGCTTTGAGTTTCACTATCTTTCCACCACGCCAAAGATCCAAAGACAAGATCCAAATCTGTCTATGAACACTAGATTTTTGACTCTCCCTGCATAAATCCCACAAACGTATTATGCTAATCCAGGCAGGGTCTTTTTTCTGTCTGTGACAGATAAAAAAATTGATCGTTTTTTGTAAAAGTGTTTCAGAATACCACACAGAGAATTCTACAGAAAGGAAGCTTGGGGGACAGGTGAGAGAATTTCATGGCATGCTTCTTAATACAGTGAAAGTTATGTGTAATGTTGGCTTCTCAGGTGCAGCTTACACAGTGGTAAGCGTAAAGATGAAAAGCCAGCGAGTGCACATGCTTTTCACTTGAATGAACGAAATGACATACAGTTCTGCAGTCTCCCATTGAAAACAAGTGTTGCAATGCATATTGGTCCACTATATTATATACTCCTGGGGGAATTCTGCACCAAAAATTTAAAATTCTGCACACAATCTTTGAAAATTCCGCACATTTTGTCAAAATAACACAATATAATCATGCCAGTTACAGTTTTGGTAATTTATTTCAAAATATCTGTCAGCAAGTACGTCTGCAACAACACAGATCAAAAAAAAAAAAAAGATTCTGGTAATTTTTTTTGACAAATAGATTCCTTATGAAGCATATTAATACAGAACTTTGTGTAATTCATTTAAATTACAATACAGAACTGTATTTCCTGCACTTGTCAGAAGCAGTGCAAAGGCTTGGGGGAGTTGGGGGTAACAGAAGAGCTGAGGGAAAGAGAAGAAGCCTAGGAGTGAACCTGGAGGGTGTTGAGTATGGGTGGGTGGGGGATTGTTAGGGTGTCTGGAAGCCTCCCCCATGCAGACCCTGGCTGACTCCAAGCTTCTTCCATTCAGTCAGGCACATCTGCCCCTGTCCCCTCACCCCACTAGCTCCTGAGCCCATGCTCTAGTCTTTCCCCTCACTAGCTATTCTGAACCCTAGTCTGTGACCCCTCAGCAGCCCCGTGTGCCCCACTCTGTCCTAACCTGGCTCCACTGGACATAGAATTTTGTATTTTCCTGCATAAAGTACATTTTGCACAAGAAAGTGCTACAGTTCTGCCTTTTGCCCACCAGAGGCTGCTGTGGTACTAGAACAGCTGGCATGAATGCAGCTGGCTGTTTTGGCACCACAGCGGCCTCTGGTGGCCAAAAGGCAGAACTTCAGCACTTAGGCAAAACGTATTTTATGTGGGAAAATACAAAATTATGCAAGACAAGACAAATTAATTCTGCGCATCCGCAGATGCACGGAATTCCCCCAGGAGTAATTATGCTATTCCTACAGTGTATAATGGGGGCCCCAGTTATACCGGGGACCTTTGAGAGCTACCGCAATAGGAACAAAAAAAGTAGGTCACACTGACAGATGGGGACAGTATTTCAGAAATCAGTGACTGGAAATGACATAGGAGTCATGGTGGATAACCAGCCAAACATGTGCTCCCTGTGAGATGCTGTGGCTAAAGCTCTAACATGATCTTTGGACGTATAAGCTAGGGAAGATCAAGTAAGAATAGGGAGGTAGTATTATCTCTGTATACAGCATCAGTATACTGTGCCTGGTTCTCATCAGTGGTGCCAATTCAAATATTTCTTGCGGGGGAGGAAAGACAAATTCTGGGCCACCTTAGGCCACATAAAAGACCCTGTTCCAGTCCCCATTCATTCTTCCCCCTCCTCCACCCAGGGATCCCAGGTCTCCCTTGGCTGGTGAATCTTCCCTTTCTCTTACCCACACAGTGCATGAGCCAGTGCCACCAGGGTCAAATTTTTGGCAGACTCCCCTGAGCTCCACCCCCTGTGTGCCAGTCTGTAATATCGATTTGTCCTGGCCTGGCCAAATTTCAATGGCATTGAAACCTTGCAGCTAGAGCAATGCTCCAGTCTGCTCTGGCAGCAGCCACACTGACTTAGTACGGAAACACTGCTTAAAAGTGGTCGGACAGTGCCTCCCCACATCCCCCAGCTTCAGAGCCTATGGAACTTTGAGCAAGTGCAAAAACCTTGTCGAGAGACATTAACTCACCAGCAGTTTCCCCTAAATGCTGCCACTGGTTCTGGAGTTCACACTTGAAAAAGGACATTGGAAAATTGGAAAGGATTCAGAAGAGCTATAGGAATGATTTGAGGTCTGTACACTGGTCTTCCAGTGAGAAATGAAAGATGCTCAATCTATTAAGTTTACCCAAGAGGAGGTTAAGAGGTAACCTGATCATGGTCTATAACAGGGATCGGCAACCTTTAGCACGGTAATCTGCTGGCAGGCCACGATATAATTTGTTTACGTTGACCATCCACAGGCACAATTCCTGCAGCTCCCATTGGCCGTGAATGGCAAACTGCGGCCACTGGGAGCTGCGGGGGCCGTGCCTGTGGACGGTCAACGTAAACAAAATGTCTTGCGACCTGCCAGCAGATTACCCTGATGGGCCCATGCCAAAGGTTGCCGACCCCTGGTCTATAACTTAGTATCTACATGGGAAAGAGTTTTCTGATAGAAGAGGGCCCTGTAATCCAACACAAAAAGGAACAGATTCAAAGATTGGAAGCCAAAGCTAGACAAGTTTATAGTAAAAATGAAGCACAATTTTTTTTTAATAGTGAGAGAAATAAATCATTGGATCAACTTACGGAGTGATATGGTGGATTCTCCCATCATTTAAGGTTTATAAATGAAAACTGGATGTCTTTTTAAGAGCTATTAGTACTGCTTTTGACTGGAGCAGTTACCCAATACTTGGAGTCTTGCAGGTTCTTTCCTTTAAGAGGAGAAATTGATGATTGAAGCAGCTGTTTCTTTGATGCAATCTTGTTTCATTACAAGGAATGTACATAAACTCCTGTTTCCCAGGACACAGGAAGGATCAAACAGCAGGACATGGGACTGTGAACAACACCTAAGTCTCTTTAAAGCCAGCACTCTCCTCAAAATCTCTCTCTGCTTTTTTCTCAGGGTCACTCATTCCTTACTACGTTTTCTGTCTAGTTCCATGTTGTTTTCTGCTGCTTCTCTCTCACACAGCTCCCTCAAACAATACCCAACCCTCTATATTTGCATTCAGCTCCAGTCAAATCCTTCTGCCCAAATAGCTCAGATTCCTAACTGACCTTGTATATGCCTCTGTTTTGGGTGGTGGCGCCTATTCTTTCAGCTATCTGTTCTATTAAGGAGCTTGATTACACTGATTCTGCCGGAAAGGCGGCTGTTTTGCACACCAATTTCAATGTGGTTTCATCAAATCCCTGGTATAACAAAATGCTATAGCTCAAACAGAAGTTATGGGTTTGATGTAGGGCTTGAAAACCTGTGGCCTTGCTTATGCGGGAGGTCAGACTATATGTTCATAATGATCCTTTCTGATCTTAGTCTATAAATACTACTTTCTCCACCTACTACTTATGTATTTTGTGACAGTCAAAATGTTTGGACAAATATTCAGAATGACCACATACTTTATGGGTCTGACCTGACCAGTATGAATTTCTTGACTTTGCAAAATTGAGCTGGAAATCTCACGTAGACTGAACTTCTCACACACTTACCCCTACTCCTGCTTCTGGTTGTGCAAGGAAAGCCACAGCAATAGCCTC